CACCTTCTGTATTTCTGTGTCTTTTATTCTTTCCGGTAGGCCTTTAACCCTTAAGTTATTTCTGCGGGACCTATTTGAGGCATCCTCAATTTCTGCTTCTAGTTCAGCCACCCTTGTGATGAGGTGGTTGGTGGTGGAGGCTGCATTGTTGTGTGCCGCCACCACATGGTCCATCCTCCATTCTAAGGCCTCTGTGCGTTGCCCCACTGACTGAATCTCCTCCTTGACTTCCCTTGCAGATCTTTCTATTTCCCCTGCCAGGTAGTGTCTTACCTCTGCCAGGGATTGAAGAATCTCTGCGTTGGTCGTCTGTGGAGGTTGGTGCCTGTGCTCTCCGGTGTTCGGGGAGTCCGCGCTCATCTGGCCGCCGCCATCTTTGATTACATGCGGTCTAGGCGTTGCGAGGAGGTCGGCCACGGACAGGGTACCGTCCTTCGGTTTTTTGCCACTTTTTTTGTGTCGCCATCTCCCGGTGTGTCCCTCTTGTGGTGAGAGGATTTTGGGAACGTCGGCCGGGATGTATTTGCTTCTTGCGTGGCGTTTTAGATCGTGCAGGGCGCAGAGCTCTGAGCTTAAGCAGCCATTACTCTCAGCGGTCAGGCCACGCCCCTTAAACTTATTTTTACATTCTCTCATTGCCCTGTCGTGGTTCTTCCTGATGGTAATCCGAGAGTGCATTCCTGATCTTGATATTTTGGTATTTGACTTTCGCTTTGTTCTGACTTCTGGAATCCTTGATTTTTGGCTTTTTCTCATCGTTGTCTAATTGTAGATTATACTAGCTTTAGTGTAACCATAATCTTAATTTTATTAATGACAGGAGGCGAATATTTGCTTAAGTCTCTCTTTACTAGAACTCCACAGCAGCACATTAACATAGAGAGAAAAACATCAAAGACAAAAAAATAAGGAATCCATAAGGAATCCCCAAGCAACTATTTCCTCTTTCACGCTGCGACAAAATAAAGTACACAAACAATACACCACCATAGTTACATAGTTACATAGTTACATAGCTGAAAAGAGACTTGCGTCCATCAAGTTCAGCCTTCCTCACATTTGCTTTTTGCTGTTGATCCAAAAGAAGGCAAAAAAAACCCAGTTTGAAGCACAATTTTGCAACAAGCTAGGAAAAAAATTCCTTCTTGACCCCAGAATGGCAGTCAGATTTATCCTTGGATCAAGCAGTTATTACCCTACATTGAAAGATTATATCCTTGAATATTCTGTTTTTGCAAGTATGCATCTAGTAGCTGTTTGAACATCTGTATGGACTCTGATAAAACCACTTCTTCAGGCAGAGAATTCCACATCCTGATTGTTCTTACAGTAAAAAACCTTTCCTTTGCCTTAGACGAAATCTTCTTTCTTCCAGTCTAAACGCATGGCCTCGTGTCCTATGTAAAGTCCGGTTTGTGAATAGATTTCCACACAATGGTTTGTATTGGCCCCAAATATATTTGTATAATGTTATCATATCCCCTCTCAGGCGACGTTTTTCTAAACTAAATAGGTTTAAATTTGTTAACCTTTCTTCATAGCTGATATGTTCCATTCCTTTTATTAATTTTGTAGCCCGCCTCTGCACTTTTTCTAGTGCCATAATATCCTTCTTTAGAACAGGTGCCCAAAATTGCACAGCATATTCAATATGGGTCTTACCAGTGATTTATAAAGAGGCAAAATTATATTCTTGTCCCGAGAATGAATGCCCTTTTTCATGCATGACAATACCTTACTGGCCTTGGCCACTGCTGATTGACATTGTACATTGTTGCATAGTTTGTTGTCTATAACAATTCCCAAGTCCTTTTCATGTGTTGTTATCCCTAATTCGCTTCCATTAAGGGTATACGTTGCTTGTGTATTCTTTACGCCGAAGTGCATAACTTTGCATTTTTCAACATTAAATTTCATCTGCCATTTGAGTGCCCAGTCCCCCAGTCTATCTAAATCCCTCTGCAGCAAAGTAATATCTTGCTCACATTGTATTGTTTTACAAAGTTTTGTGTCATCTGCAAACACTGAAACATGACTTTCAATGCGGTCTTCAAGATCATTTATAAACATGTTAAATAGAAGGGGTCCCAGAACAGACCCCTGAGGGACACCACTTGCCACCTCTGTCCAGCTTGAAAATTTACCATTAATGACAACTCTTTGTACTCTGTTTTTAAGCCAATGTTCTACCCAAGAACAAGCATTTTCATCTAGACCGATTTCCTTGAGTTTGAACACCCAATACAATAACAGAAGAAACAAACATAACATAGAATGCCATCCGAAACTGAAAACGTGGAACCAGTTGAAGCCTTGACCTTTAGCCTGTAAAATAGACAGCTCTAAGAACTGTAGCCGAACCGTTAAGCTGAAATGAGATAAAACAGAATCGAAAACACTGATTAGCGAATGAAATGTACTGAGAAAAACCTGAATCCCCATCGTCAATACTGACCTAATATCCCAGATACTGAGAAAAACATGAATCCCCATCATAAAATACTGTCTGTACCATATCCCAGATAAACCCTAACTCCCCCATATTAACAAACCGAGACCAGGTGCATAAACAAAAGGTCAGTCAAACCAACA